GTGATTTATTCATAATTTGGTCCCACAATAATAATATAAATCATTGATTTAAAATAAGTAAATTTATGATAACTTATACAATTTATTTCTTTTAATGCTTTGTTTTTGTTTTTGTTTTGTTTTGTTTTTTTTTTTTTTTGCATGACACTATAGTCTGATACAAATTATTTATGTTAGCAAGTGATTGTAATACTATTATCCTAACAATCTTTATAATTAACAATTTTTTATGTATATCAAATTTTTATTGTGAAATTTTGTAGATTAATTATTGTTAACATCAACCAAGATGGCCTAACATCATGGCTTGCTGCTATTAAAATATAATTCAATATTAGAATAATTTATATATCACACAAAATGTATATAGTTTATTTTTCCGTGCATCACACGGGTTACCGCTAGTATATATATATATATATATATATGTATTCTCATCTCTAATTTGCTTTGGTATGTTCATAATATTATAATGTACATGGTTAGAGATGACATTTCTTCTCATTTCGCCCCCATGTGTTTTCTCCACCTCCGTTGAAGGAGCAAGGTCAAATCAAATTTTCCTCTCCCCACCCCGTTTATATATATATATATATATTATAATTTTATTTGTTTTAAAAATATAATAAGACCGAAATACTAAAATATTACACTTCTCATTTATTATTTAATATTTTACATCTATCTTATCACTAATAAAATATTATCCATAATATACCATTTCATCTTTTATTAATGCCCATCATGTTCATTAATACTGAAATTTTAAAATTACAAAATTAATTCATGCCAGTCATGCTCCGTTGCCATCCCTATTAGGGGCAACACCATTAGAGGGATGATGGATCTCATCCACCCATCATCCAACCAAACAGCATTGAATTTTTATTTTTCGCAGTAAAAATTTTATTTAATAACCAATTGATCCCATTAAAACAAATAAGGGACCTCATCCGTTAGAAACCAAAAATCTATTAGGAACCTAGTCCTTCTCTTCTCCACACTCAAACTAAATGAGAGATTAATAGTTGAATGGTTACTTAATCATGTATATAAAAGAGGATGTGTTTGACTCCATTAATAATGAGATTATTATGAAATAATTTCAAAAATGACACATCGTTAAATACAATTGCAAAAATTTTATGTATTTTTTTTAATATGATAGTATTTTATTAAAAATTTATTCTAATTAAAATTTGAGAAGCTCAAATGTTACTTAATTTAATTTTTTTTCTAAAAGAATTCGTAGAGTTTACATTTTTTGAGTAATCTCATCTATAAAAATTTTTGGAGTCGCCAATAATCCTTACCATGATACTCATTTGGACAAACAAAAAAACATATTCACTTTTTACGGCCTTTCAACTATTAAGACTATGTTTGATTTATAAATTTAAAAATATATTAGAAAATGAAAAGCAAAAAAATGAGTGAAATGTAATTTATTTCATTCACATTATTTTTTTATTTTATTTTTTAAATTCTTATCAAAATTCATGAATTAAACACAGAGTCCTCAATTGGGTGGGCCACTTATTTCCCAATATATCCGAAAATTATGTACTAGTTGGGCTTGGGCGGGATCGGGCTTTGTCCACATGTTAAGAAAATAGAAGGGGCCTTAGAAGGCCAGGCATGGTGGACTTTTGCTCCATAAGTTTTCTATGGTTTTGTTTGTGATATATCATTATTTGCTTTATATTGAGTGCAAATGATATCATAAAATTATCTACCTCTTATAAACATGAACTGTAGAAAATGAAAAGTAAAAAAATGAGTTATATGTAATTTATTTCATTTACATTATTTTTTTATTTTATTTTTTAAATTCTTATCAAAATTCATGAATTAAACACAGCGTAAGAGTCCTCAATTGGGTGGGCCACTTATTTCGCAATATATCCGAAAAACGAAAATTATGTACTAGTTGGGCTTGGGCGGGATCGGGCTTTGTCCACATGTTAAGAAAATAGAAGGGGCCTTAGAAGGCCAGGCATGGTGGACTTTTGCTCCACAAGTTTTCTATGGTTTTGTTTGTGATATATCATTATTTGCTTTATATTGAGTGCAAATGATATCATAAAATTATCTACCTCTTATAAACATGAACTGAATTTTAAGTCTTTTTTTCCCCCCATATAATGTAGAACTTTTATTAGGTTGAGAAATTTAAAAAAAGCTGGCTTTTGTGTTGGTTATGTTTGGATCTTATATTTGAAGTGAGGAATTGCCGAGAAAAAAAGAAAATTAACGCTTTGTTTGTTTAGATGAAAAATATTTTTTACGAAAAACTTTTTTTAGAAAATATTTTCCGGGGAAAATATTTTTCTATGTTTTGTGGTTTTGGTGGTGAAATGAAGGTAGAGGTGGTGACATGATGGTGAGGCGACAGTGATAACGATGGTGACGGTAACAGTGACCATGGTGATGGTGGTGTGGTGGTGGAGGTGAGAGTGGCGGTTGTAGTGTGGTGATATTGGTAAGACTTTAGTCAGGAAAATTTTTTCCACTTTTTAAAAGTGAAAAATATTTTTTGTCCATATAAGCTTGTTTTCTGTTAATTATGAAAAATATTTTTCGTTGACTTTCGTTTTCTATTATACCAAATACCAAAAAATACATAAAATATTTTTCACAAAATGGTTTCTGCCCAAACAAATGAAACGTCATAAGGGAAAAAAAAAAGAAAAAAAAAAGAGATTATATTTCATTCATTTTTTTTTCTTACCCTTTGTTTTCCCTATGTATATCTATTTGTCCACAATTTATGATCAAAATAAAACAGGTATGAAGAACTTCAAATAATAATTTTTACATTGTCATTTGATATCCGTCATGGTAAAGGTCTCATGCTTTGTTTGGATTTATAAAAAAGATAGGAGATGGATTGAAAGGGAGATAAAATTAAAATAGAAGAGAAAAATAATTTTATTTGGATCCTCATATTATTAGAAACCATTGGATGAAAGATTTCAAATAACTATTGTTACCTCAACTTCTTCATTACAAATCTAAACTGTTAAACATAAAATTAAGCTATCCTCCTTGAATGATTTGTGTCTAAATCTTTTCATTTCAAATTCCATAAATTCAAAGACATCCGCAAATTCAATGTTAAATACATGTTTAAACTACAATTTGAAGTTAAATTACTTTTCTTAAATGATGAGTGTTAAATCATTTCATTTCAAATTCATAAATCTAAAGTAAGCAAATTCCTAAATCTAAAATAAGCACATGCATAAAACCATTTTCACAAGGGGGTTATGCTAATAGGGATATAATCAGGCCTAGCCCTGTTTTTTTACAAAATCATTTTTCATAGATAACAACGCTAATCCATTCAATCTTTCTTGTGGCATGGTTGATCGATGATATTTTTGATCATTTTCAACTTTGAAAAGCTTCTTTCCCCCAATGCAACTGTAATCAGAATAGTCAAAAGCATCCTATAAGCAACCCATGAATTTGGGAATTAGATGGGGAGAGAGAATGGACCCTTTTAATTTTGAATGGGCCTTTTAATTTTTTTAGTGGGTCAATTTATTTTAAGTTAGTTTGGGTCTTTTTTAATTTTTTTTGGATTTAAAACATATCCAATATATTACACTAAACTATGATAGGAGATGGGCTCTTTTTTTGGGTCTATTTTGAGGGGTCCTAAACCATAGCTTGGTGGGCCTATGCTCAAGGCCAGCCCTAGATATAATTAGGACGGTCAATAACAAACACTAAATGATAAAATGTTTATAATCTCAATACACAATCTATATATCTAAAAATATTTTAATATATATTTTTAAACACAATTTACACATTTCAATACACTTTTTATATAATTTTTAACATTAACAACAATTCTAAGTGTTGCTTTTAACATTTTTCATTATTAAACAATAAAGTTAGGGTCTCGGAATTTTGAACCCAGAAATGGATTTGGATGGTAGCGATTAAATTGATGAAGTGTAAGGTCTACATATGAAATGAATATAAGCTATAATATGAAATTATAGATAATTTTTGTATTTTTATATCTGGGTCCATAACATTACTGCTTATTGAAGGAGAGTGCTTCTAATTAAACCTTACTATTTTATTTATTTATTTATTATTTTATATATTTTTTTATCTCAACCATATGTGAGAGCACAAATTTTCATGCTTGTGAAAGAGATAAAGAAAGGTGAGTGTAGTGAAGAACTAGCGCAATGCAATAGAAGTACTTTAATGAATTGTGCTAATTCAATTGATCATTTATACGATCGTATACTACAATAATATGTTTTTCAACTCTCTCCTAATAGATGCCATAAGTTCAAATTTCATGTGGGGTGTTAGGGTGATTCAGTGATTCATTTGAATGCAAATCCCATTTCTCCCTTTTTCCTTAAATCTAGACTAGAGTAAGGTTTAGGAAGTGCACCAAAAAAGAAAAGTTCCAATATTTGATCACTATTGTGAACTCCTATTTAAGAAGTCAAGAAGCCAATTCTTACCAAATACAAAAATTGACTATTTCTCTCCCTAATATGGGCTTTGTATTGAGTTGTTTATTAGTTATCATTATGGCCTATTTCTTTTGGTAGTTGCTATGCTTTCAGTTATGAGTTGTATTATTATTGGGGGATTTGGTGATAGACCCGTCACTATCTAATTTATTTTTGAAAATGATAAGAATTATATAGATCATTTCAAAACTCCTTAATATTTTAAAACTTGTTTTTTTTACTCTCTCTCTCTCTCTCTCTATATATATATATATATATCAGCTCTCCTGTAAAGTCATTCTCACAGTATATTTCAGAGTAAAATTTTGCTTTGAATCCTAGTAAACTTTACTCTGATTCAGAATAAAATTTTACTCTGAATCAGAGTAAAATTTATTATGATTCAAAGTAAAAAATTTTTATCGTTAAGCACATATATTGTTTTAGAGATAAAATTTTACTCTCATTTTATCAAACAAAAATAGAGCATATACCAGAGTAAAATTTTACTTTCATTTTATCAAACAAAACATAGCACATACTAGAGTAAAATTTTACTCTCATTCTGTCAAACAAAAATAGAGAACATACCAGAGAAAAAAATAGAGAAATAAAGAGACAGAGAGAGCACATATATTGCCTTAGATTTGGTTCAAACTAGAGTAAAATTTTACTGTCTGAAAAACAGAGTATGATGAGGAGACAAAAAAAAAAAAAAAAAGAGAGAGAATATAGATCTGAGATGATAGATCTCAAATTTGACATCATCAATCTCAGATCTGAAATCTTGGCCGCTAAGGATGACGATGGCGGCATCGAATGGCGCTAGTGGTTGAGATGCTAGTGGTGAAACAGTGGTGGTGGTGGTGGTGGTGGTGACGAACAACATCGATGGTTGAGACGGTGTTGGTGGAGATGACGGAGGTGGTGGAAACGATGGTAGTCATGGTAGTCGTGGTAGTAGAGATGGTGATGGTGGTGGTGAATAGAGCTCTCGGAAAGAGATAGATGAGAAAGATAAAGAGTTTGTGTGTGAAGGGGAAAATTTTTCACACAAAGTATAAATCTGAAATTATTTGTCCTTTATACAAGACTTTATAATTATGAGGGATTTTGAAAGTATAATTTTTATTTTTATTTTTTTAAAAAGAAAAGAAAGGTAAGAGGGGTTTATGTCCAAATTTCCCTTCTTATTATTCAATTTGATATAATTTTTTTTCCTTCATATCTTTATTTTTAAATAATAAATCAATGATAAATATTTACATAAGAGACCATACAAAACAATTACACATAACATTTCTCAACTCATGCAATTTATTTGAAAAAATTATTAGATACTCCTAGAGTATCATGTGTAATTATCTACATAACTTAGTTTGGCATAGACTTTTTAGGCTAAAATAGTCACAAAAAGACAAAATAGACTAAAAAGTCAATGGGACAAAATGTCACGTTCAAATCATAATCATTTTTTTTTCTCACAAAAGTTAAAAAAGCCAAAAGCTTATCCCAAATGAAACTTTTTAACCCCAGGCTAAAATAGCCAAAAAGTCAAAAAGCCAAAAAGCCAACTCACATCCCCAACGAAGACTGTCTTTTAACTATCTAACAAAGGTAAGTCAATATATCTTCCCCACAAACTTCTGTCATACGATTAATTTAAAACACTATTTAAATAATATCACATGATATTTCATAACAATTGAATAACTACTCATTTATCAGAGCATATTAGGAGTTGTTTGGGAAGTGACTTTTTAGTGATTTTTTTTGTTAAAATACGAGGTGAAAAAATTAATATGTTTTAAAATAACTTTTTAACTTTTTATGAAAAAATGTGTAAAAAGTAAAGTAAATAGAAATGAATCTTTAATTTTCTTGTATAAGTTATATATATTTTTTGGAAAAATTATTTATAAGTTCTATTTGGGAGACTTATTTAATGTAAAGTCCTATGTAATTTCTTATAGAGTTCCAAGTCTTATTTAGATAGAAATGTATTCCATAAAGTCCTATGAGTTGTAAGTAAATAGTATTAATGTAATTTTATACCCTTATATGTTTCCATATTATTGATTATTATATCATTAACATATTATGTGTTTTGGAGGCTTTTAGAAAAATGGATTGTGTTGGACACGTCCGTGGGCATGAATGTCGCATTTTTCGTTGATTCCGGTGGATTTTGAAAATGTTGATTGTTTGGATGTAGATATGGCTGATGTTGTCTTGAAGGTTGGAGGTTGTGTTTTGTTTGCTTTTGCCGATTTTGAATCCAAGTGATTAAGGGAAGAAGGTAGGGTTTCTGCTTCTCTAGTTGGTGCGTTTTGTTGTTGTGTTTTTTCCAATTGTTCATTTGTCACTAACATCTTATCTTTTATGGCTTTGACAATCTGTTACAACCATCTATTGACACACTTTCATTAGCCTTCGATGAAGTTACATTGAGGTTGTAATGTTAACCACATTTACAACGTTGCTTTGTACTTTGTGTTACGTTCGGCTGTATTTGTCTTTCAATTTGTGTTGTGTCGTCGTTGTATTCAGTGTTTACATACGTGTCACATTACGTTGCACAAAACGATTGGGGTTTTAATTTTTTAATTTGATATGGGTTGAACCACGTCACGTTATGTTGCACAAAATTACAACATTGTTATGTCTTTCGTGTTTAATTTTTTAATTAAGTGTTTACATACGAGACACATTACGCTGCGCAAAATTACAACGTTGTAATGTCTTTTGTGTGTTATGTTCGTTTGTATTTGCCTTTGAATTTGTGTTGTGTCATATAATTTAGTGTATACATATGTGTCACATTACGTTGCGCTTTTAATTTTTTTCTACCTTTCATATGATGTCGAAATTACAATGGATTTTGGGACGTATAACGAACAATAGGTTTAAATAGTGTGCTCACATTTGATTATAAAACACACATGTCGCACGCCTTATTTGTTGGTTTGGTTGCGGAATGTATTGACATGGTCGATACACGAAAGGGTTCAAACATGCAATGGATACTTTTACTTGAAGAGATGGAACAATCTGCATAATTGTGGTGTTATTGTTCGAACTAGAAAGCATAGTAGAATCAACTCTGAATTAGTTTGCAATATTGTTGGTGATCGGGTGCGTGACAAGCTGCTTACACGTCCCACTGACGTCATGTTTGACCTGAAGAAAGAGTACAAATTGACGTAATATGATAACATATAATGGATATGTCACGCTGTGTGAATATGACGACATGGAAAACAATGTGACGACATGGAAGACAATGTGACATATGCCAATTCAAACATCAACTAATTGTACCCAACACAAACCACTAACCAAAGTCGTATTGTTTGTCATACAAAATACAGTTAATGTCATAACATATATTACGTGATCACGTATTTCACAAAACAAAAACGTAACAAAGTATCCACATTCTCACACACGTTCACAAATGTGACACTTAGGTAGTCCACGTAAATGTCAAATCACAACCACGAATTTGATGCACATGAATTGGGGACGTGAAATCATAACCACATTCTGGAATTATGTTACTTCCATTATTCGACTCTCTGTAACAATTTACAAATAGTCCCACAAATTCACGGTCACATTCAAAAATGGGGTTAGATTCATATTTACAAATTATTCATATGGGGTCCCATTCACATTCATAACTTACTTACATGGGGTCACATTCACATTCAAAAGTCATTTACATTTGGGTCACATTCAAAAGTAATTTACATTTGGGTCACATTCACATTCAGAAAATGGACAACACATAAAACACGGACGTGGCATCAGTCACATTCAACAACTTACTTTTGTTACTTAATGCGCATAACCAAACAGCATCGCAGCACAATGTGAACCCCCAAATATTAGAGCATCAAACACAATCATTTGCTTGGGTTCCACACACACACACACACACAAAAAAATCAGTAAATAGACCCCATATTCGGCAACACAACAACGAATCACGCACAAAACACCCAAATTCGAAAACCCACCAAACCCCCATCCTAGAACACCAATAACTAAGTCACATAACACACAATCGACAACCCCCACATATATACTAACATCTTCAAATCGAGAACTATCAAAACCTGTAATCCTCATAAAACTCACAAAATATACAAATATACAACTACCATTACAGCTTCTGACTAAAAAAAATCGAAATTATCAACAATCCCATATTTACATAAACCCTAGTTATAGGTTGTTAATCAAAATCAAATGAATGAACATTGCAAAACAGGGGGAAAGCCACACTTTCGTTTTGGAGCCATCCTTCGTCGTCGTCATTCAACGAAAACGGGATTTCATTGCCATCGTCCCGTTGAACCTCACTGTCGAATCGCACCCCTTTTCCTCTCGGTGGTGGGTTTTCAAATGTTCTAAAATGAACCAACTGTTCAAATTAGAATAATGACACAAAACATATCTCATATATTTTGTTTCCTAAAATTTTGCCTAATCAAAGCTCTAATCTCGAAATATAACGTATATTTTGAATTTGAATTTGAAATTTACATCCACGTAAATATGATCTATAGTAACATTCAATTTCCTATATATGGTTTTGCTATTATTTATGATATTAACAAATAATATTTTAGGTAGATGTGTCAACCAACTTCTCACAGAACTTATAGAAACATAAATTTTTACTTAAGACCATATGTAGTATAAGTCTCCCAAATAAAATTTATAAATAATTCTTCCTATTTTTATTTTTTACTTTTTAATTTTTTAACTTTCAAACTAAAATATCAATTATTCAAACGAGACCTCAATCACATGCATGGGAAACCACCAGTTAATGAGGACCATGACAATGCCAGTTGGATCAGAACTAGGGGTGCAACTTGGGCAGGCTCAACCCGCGCAACCCGAGCCCAGCCCGATTTTTTTTAGGGCTTGGACAAACTATTTTCAAATTCGATACGGGCTTGGGCAAAAATTTAGAAGCTCGAATTAAATTTGGACGGGCTTGGACAAAGATGTCAAACAACCCGAGCAACCCGAAGCCCGAATTATACATATATAGATATATAAAAATATTAAATATAAATATAAATTATTAGTCATTACATGATATTAAAGTAATTTATATTATTAAATCATATTGAATATATATTATATATACAAATAACATAAAATCTTACTTTTTTTTTATATATACAAATAACATAAAATCTTATTTTTTTTCTTTTTGTTTTCACTAATAAATTGTAAGAACTACTATAGTGGCATCTCTCTTACATTATATAAATTATTTGTTTTGATGGTATTAATGATTTTCTATAATGAAAAAATAATTATAAAAAAAAAAAAACTGAAATTCATTTACAATTCGGGCAATTCGGGCAACTCGGGCAACTCAGGTTTAGCTCGGGTCAGGCTTGGGCAGACAATCTCAGGTTACAATTCGGGCTTGGGCGGGCTTGGGCAAGTCTCAGCACAACTTGGGCTGGGCTTGAACAACCTCCCAACCCGCCTAAACTCGCCCGAGTTGCACCCCTAATCAGAACAATTTAATGCCAATATGTCTTTAATCAGAGCTAACATTTCACTTTGCAAGCCCATTATGTACATATATATATATATATATCCTCTGAAATTTTCATTTCTAAAAATGCAATTCAACATCAGTGTTTTTGGTTGGTTGTCAACTTGTCATCATCAATCAATGTAGATAGTTAGATTTCTTGGGATATAGGACCACAGAGCTTACTGGGAATGGCAACTCGATGGTAGACCCTCAAGAAAGCAACCCTGCTCAAGCCTTCATGTTGTTATGAAAAATTAGTTAAAAATTGATTTTTTGAATTTTTTTTTATTTTATAAAATGTATTAAAAAATAAAAAGAATGATATAACTAAAAATAAGTTAAAAGTTGGCTTTTAATTTTTTATGTTCTTTTCAAAAGACACCTTAATATGGAAAACAAAAAAAAACCAAAGAGAGACACAGAGTTGTGTTTTAGGACTGTTTACAAGTCATCACTTACGCACAAATGTCCACATAGTGACTCACCTCTACCCCCAACAACATTTGGAAAGGATTTGTGTAATCATTTCGTTTTCAATTTTCAGTTTATATTTAAATTTTTTTTAAAAATTGTCATAAAAATTTATTTGATAATTTTTTTGATTTATAAATGGTCGTCTCAATTTGTAAATTTGAGTAAAAATGAGTTTACGTTGGTTTTTAAACAGAAATTTAAAAATGTGACTAACAATTTTTTTTTCAATTAAATTTTCTTTAATTAAATTTTTTTCAAATAATTTTTTTTTCAATTATTTTTTCCAATTAATTTTTTTTAATTAATTTTTTTATGTGTATGATCTTATTGTCATAAAATAATAAAAAAATATAAATATTTTAGGACTGAAGAAACATATTTTTTAGTTTATGTTTTTAAATTTTTACAAACATTTTGTTCAAATTAAACGCGCTTATAGTTTATATTTTTTTAAAAATAAATAAAAACTAATTTATAAAATTTTTGTAAACATAAATAAAAAACGTAAAAGTTACAAAACGCTATTGTAGTGTTTGGTTAGTGAATGGTTTTTTAAAAATTTGGCTATTTGAGGTGAGGTTAAATAAGTTATATATATATATATGTCTTAATATTTTTTATTGTTAGTGATTTGTTTTTAAAAAAAATTATGTCAATTTTTTCTTTTCTTTTCTTTTTTTTTAAAACTTTTTCTATCCATCAAATCTTAAAAAAAAAAAAATTTAAAAATTAACAAGTCAAAGTAAGTAAAAAAAGTCCACTATTTTTTTTGCTTATTTTTATTTTTTATGGATTTTTTTTTTTAATTTTTTAATTTTTCTTTTTTCCCCCCAAAAGATACCTGATACAAATGAAGTTTCAGGCCCTGTTTTAAAAACTACAGATTTTTTTTTGTCGACACCCATACCTGGTTCATGAGTATCATGTTCTTAAATTCTACGTGCAGTGGCCTACCTTGTATGTACAATTGGCAAAACAAGACTCTTTGTGAAAATAGAATCAAGTCCTACCCCCTCATGATTCGGGCATGTGAATTTTAATTGTACAAATCACGATAACTAATTTCTTTTTTTTTTCTTTTTTTTTTAACAATTATTTCATGTCTTTTTACCTCTTTTGCAGGCAACACGCAAGACTTTAGAGCTACTTTAGGTATCATTGGCTCTTCTACTCCAATGGCAATGATTGGCTTATATCCTTGGTAATGAATGTGTTCCTTTCACCCCAATGGCTTGAATCCTTGGCAGTGAATGGACTCCTTTCACCCTAATGGCTTAGATCGTTGGCAGTGAATGGGCTCGTTTCACCTTAATGGCTTGAATCCTTGGCAGTGAATGGGCTCTTTTCACCCCCAATGACTTAGATCCTTAGTAGTGGCTGAGCTTCTTTCACCCTAATGGCTTCCAAAAAAATAATAATAATAATATAAAAGAATAATGCTTGGGACCCCCTTTTGGGAGTCACCCCCTCACCCCCCTTTGCCATGTGGCAGGTGGTGATTGGAGGAGCAGGAAAAAAAAGAAAAAGAAAAAGAAAAAGAAAATGTAACCAATGAGAGAGAGAGGAGGTCAAAGGGGTGGGAGGAAAAGGGGGGATGAATCATTGTTGATAATAAAAATGTAAAAGAAATAAAAAATATTGAAAAATCTCATAATAAGAGAGAAATTATTAATTATTGCAGTTAGTAAGTATTGACCCCCTAACCTTCTGGCTTCTAGATAAAAGTGTACATGAGTGGTCAATTGAGTTAGTCCAATTAGTTTAACTTGTTTAAATTATACTATTAGAATTTAAGATATTTTTAGAGTAATTTTCTTTTAATAACTAGATATCTACTAAAATGTTACTTTTATTTTTCAAATTAATCGTGTTACAACACATTTCTATAAGTATTATGATGTAATTTTTATCTTTTATCATATCAAAACTCCACTCTAATTAGATTTTAGGTTAAGGTTTATATTGAAAAATATTTTCAAGATTGTTTTGGAGTATTAAATTTATCATTTTGGAACACAAATATATTACGACTCCGTTTGGTAAGGAGGTTTGGGGCTATCTTAGGCACAAAAGACAAAATAGGCTATTTTAGCCATAACAAACAAAACATCACATTCAACTCATAATCATTACACTATTCTCTCATAAAAAAAGTCAAAAAAGCAGAAAAGCCCTTCCCAAACCAAGCTTTTTAACCGAGGTTAAAATAGCTAAAAAAGTCAAAAAGCCAACCCACTTCCCAAACGGAGGCTACGTTTGTTAGATTTTTGATTTAGCGTAAAAAAGCGATTCACAACAAGTTTTAATGGGTCTTATAAAAATTTATAAAACATTATTCACGCTGAAATTGCCTGGAGTAATTATCAAAAGTTGAGAATTACTTGAAGGAGTAACTAATTCTATCTAATAGTTAATAGATAACTGTTAAATTCAGCCGATTCATACAATTTTCTTTTCAGAACAAAGAATGTTTATTTATGTATGGAAAATGTCTCGTAGCTCAAATTTTGTGGCTCAAGTGGCCAAAATGACGTCGTTTTAGCCATTTTTATGTTGTTCTGTACTCAAAACGACGTCGTTTTGGCCATTTGAACCACTTTTGAGCTACAAAATTTGAGCTACGTAGCATTGTCGTGTATGTATACAGAGTTTGCCTTTTGTCTTTGCGTTGCTATTTGAATGAAATTTCTGTCAATGCATTGTATTTCTATGGAGTTTTCTTCATCAACAAGGAAGCAAAATATGAGAAAGATGATATTCTTAATCCTTTTATATATATATATATATATATTTTTAAAGAATTTTTGGCAACAATGATGTGACTGTAGTATTATTTTATTTTTAAATATATGTTATCTTAATGAGTCTTCTACTTAAGTGATAAAATTAAAACTTATCATATCATTCTAAATTGATTTTATGTATAACTTTTCTTCAATTTGTTTATCATTATTGAGTAATGTGCGTATGTACATTTTTTATCACCGTTTTATATGCTCTAAATACAAGAGAATGAGTCTAAATTATTAAATACATGAACAATATTGTGTCGAGGTGTGTCTTACAAAATCCTGTCATTGGAATAATACAACTTATTGTAGTTGACTAAAAATTTAATTTATTAATAAAAAATAGGCTTACAAAAACAATTAAATGCTAAAAAAATTCGTTTATTTGGTATTTTTAAATTTTTTCTTTTTTTTGAATTTGAAAATAATTTTTTAGAATGATTGAAATGGATATTTTCATTGGGTTGACAAATGAGCTAAGATTTTATAACAAAATAAATTCTTTTAATCAATAAACTAATTTTGAAGGCATAACCAAACCATTCCCTAGTATCATTAGCATTTCCATGGCACTCATTTGGACCAAATAGGACCCATAGGAACCAAACAATAAGTAACATTTTTGGAATGCGTAAATAATGCATAAATTTTGATTATTCTCGGATTCCATATTAAAAAAGTGTATTGACCCCACCAAAAAATATAAATTTCATTATTTTTTATTTATTATAAAGTGTGTATTATTCACGCACTCAGGTCTCATTTGGAAAGAGATTGTTTTAGTAAAAAAGTCATTACATAAACTAAAAAATCAAAATGTATCCAAAAAAAAGTTAGTTACTACTAGTGTAAAAAGACAAATATACACTGACATTTTTTTTTTCTTTTTCCATACAACTAAAGCAAGAGTAAAATGATAATTTTAAACAAAAAGTTAAAATATAACATTAGTCAGTCTTTCACGTTTTTCTATACAATTAAAAAAGTCACTAGAAAATTATTTTCAGGCATATTAATTTTTTTCCCCTTCTAAAAAAATCAAAAAATAAAAAAAAATCAATTCACAGAGCACCCTTAGAGAGTAGTATGTGTATGTACAAAATAGGACTCAACTACAAGCCCTCAACTCGCAATAGTTGGGTCCCCAATTGGGTGGGCCAATTATTTCCCAATTGGGTTGGAATTTGGAAATCATGAAGTAGATTGGTGTAGGGCTGTATTAGGCCTGTCCACATGCTAAGAAGGCCCACTGGTAGGCTTTTGTCCCATTATGTTCTATGGTTGGTTTGTGATATTTCATTGTTTGCTTCATTGGTTGGTCTGTTTGCTTTATACAGCTTCGGCTAATTCTTGAGCTCTGAAATTGATAACTGAACAAATTTTTAATACTCTTTTAGAGTGATTTAAAATTAAAATTTTAGATCTTATTTTTAAATCTTTATCGCTCGGTCAACCATTTTAAATTAATCTACCTCTTAGGTGTAGACTTTTTTTTAGGGCAAATTACAAATACCTCCCTCGAGGTTTAGCTAAATTACAAATACCCCCTTGAGGTTTCGGAAATTACATCCCACTCCCTGAGGTTTGTATTTTCATAACAATTTACTCCCTGAGGTTTATATTTCATAACAAATTACCCCCTAATTTGTTATGCAAATATTGTATTCAAGGGAAAATTTGTAATTTCTCAAACCTCAAGAAGGTATCTGTAATTTAGCCAAACCTCGAGGGGTATATGTAATTTGCCCTTTTTTTTTAAAGTATATTAACTTTTTTTTGAATGCAAAACTTTTATTAGGCTGAGAAATTTAACTCTAGGCCCTTTGAGGGAATTTGAAGCTAAGCTACATACATATATATTAGAAGTGTTGGCACACACTATGCGTGCATCAGTAAAATAATTATGTCAGCAATTACGATTGAAACAGTTGAATAGGTTTAGAAACTACTACAAGCAGTTAGTGTGAATCGACTTTGTTTGCACCATCATGGCTGTTTGCTTAATAATAATAGAGATATAGGAATATAAATTTATAATTATTTTACATTAAAGAAAAATCAGTATATTTACCGTTGGATGATATAATGAAATTTTTCCATCACAGATGTGAAAGAAAAAAAATGATAACTTAAAATTTATTTATTTTTTTCTTAAATTTTATGTTCCATCAAAACAAACCCTTAGTATGGACATTTTCAAATAATTAATGTATTGTACATTATTATTTGGAATCCATTATATTGAAACTCTCGTGTCCCGTCTGGGTGGATAATTTTAAATGAAATGATTTGAGGTTGAGTTTATTTCGTTTAAAAAACTAGAAGTTAAAATGAAATACGGTCTAGAATAGAGAATTATTTTATTTGGACAATAGTAGAAGTAGAACTTTTATTGTAAAGGGTTTCAAATAACTATATGTATATTAATATTTCAAATTCAACATGAGAAATCTGTCAAATTCAATTGCGAAAATCATATCTATAAGTAATTCTTGAACAATTATAGTGCTTAAATCCTTAATCTATAAATCCAACACTAAGTCAACTTAATCTTGAATATATCTAAACTAAAATTTAAATTTGAATTACTTTACTTTACTTGAATGATTTGTGATATAAATCCTTCTATTTGAAATTTATAAATGCAAAAGAAGCACATGCAAAAAACCATTTCATAAGAATATGGGTGTTTCTATTTACACCATACTAATTTTTCAAGACACCCACGTGAGAACACAAATTTCAATGTTTGTGAGAGAAGAATAGTAAATTAGCATGGTGTAAATGAAAGGGGTAAATATTGGATGTAACATTAATATTATATAATAGTATGAGTAATCTTAATTTGTTGTAAGAATTACAATATTATTAGGGTGGTAGGAGATAAATTTTTTCACTTAATCTCATTTGTAGTAGAATGGTGTTACCATCATATTCAATATTTTTCTCAAATACATGCACTAACAGAGGATTGATATATATTGTTGTATTTTTTACCATTTTATATCACTAAGTTAATAAGATAAAATATTATTTATTTTTATTATATTCTCAATAATTATTTTAAAAAATAAAAAAATCAAATGACAAATAAAAAGAAAAAAGGGATATTTACACATAAGTTCTAATATATGAACTTATACTCCATTAAATCCTAACTAAGATTTTTTAAATTTTCAGGTCCCATTAAATTTTTAATAGTCAGAATTGCCTTTCAAACAATGATTGTTTATCATTTATAATTGTCTATAAAAGAATATGATGATTTGACATTTATTTTGATTTTTAAAACTTTAAAACATTATCTTTCAAATTGAAAAAATCAAATGACAAATAAAAAGAAAAAAGGGATATTCACACATAAGTTTTAATATATGAACTTATACTCCATTAAGTTCTAATTAAGATTTTTTAAATTTTCAGGTCCCATTAAATTTTTAATAGTCAGAATTGCCTTTCAAACAATGATTGTTTATCATTTATAATTGTCTATAAAAGAATATGATGATTTGACATTTATTTTGATTTTTAAAACTTTAAAACATTAACTTTCAAATTGAAAAAACTAAAAAAAAAAATTATCTCAAAAAAAAAAAAACTCGTTTTTTTTTTGTTGAAAAAATTGAATTATGTTTTTTATGCAAAACTGAAAATTTTTGTCTATAAAGGAGTATGATGATAGAACATTGATGTGCAAAACTGAAAAAAAAAAAACTTTAAGAATAAAAAAATTGGTAATGTTCTCAGTTTTAAAACTGAAAAAAACTGATAATGTTCATAATTTTATTAGATAGTTTAATCAAACCAATAAATAGAAGGATAAAAATGTTTAATTTCATACTCTGTTCTTCTTTTCATCAGTTAGTAAAATAATTATCTGATATATTACTATGCAAAATTAATAATGTTCTTAGTTTTAAAAATTAAGAAAAATTGATAATATTATCAATTTTACTAAATATGACTTATTGATTCAAAAAATCTTAGATAGGGTCTGAGCTACTATAAATTTGTAAATAGGACTTTTAGGTAATTAACTCAAGAAAAAATTAGTGAAAATTTTCTTTTTTGGGGTGTATATAGCATTAGGTTCAAGAATTATTTTATTTTGATGATAAACATATGAGTAATGAAATTATTTAGTGAGAAAACAAATTATTGTTTTGAAAGCTTTTTTTCTTTTTCTTTCTTCTTTTTTTTTTTTCATTTTTACCCGACTGCTGTTAGATTGGTAGACCAACGTTGGCCAATCGTTGGAGGTGGGTGATAGTGGTGATATGAACAAATTGATGATATATGAATAAATAGGAAATGACATATAGACAGATATGTGATGTGCATAGATATGTGAATAATAAACAGATACATAAAATAGGAAGGGTAATATACTTTTTTAAATTGTTTGCTTTTTTAACCTCAAAAAACTAGAATTTGAAACTCTTATCACAAAATTTTAAAATTAAATTCATAACTTGAATGCCGTGATATAAATTGATAAGAAAAATGATCACATATTGCATTTTTCTTTCAATTATGGACTGGAAGAGCGCATCAAGCGCATGCATACCAGCAAATGGGCCCATGACTATGCAGTTGCTCAGAACAATTTAATGACAAATGTATATCTTTCGGAGCTATCTTCTTTTTCTTTCTTTTTTTCTTCTTTCTTTTAATACCATTTTTTGTGTATTTTCTTTAAATTTTTATTTCAAAAAGCAATTAATAAACATCAGATTTCATAGGAAGAGGACCACAACCTACGGTGAATGGGAGATTAGATTTCATAGGAAGAGGACCACAACCTACGGTGAATGGCAGCTCCAGTGTGTTTTTTTAAAAAATATTTTGGCTCCGTTTAGGAAGAAAAAAGCCAGGCTTTTTTTGGCTAAAATAACCACAAAAAATAAAATAGGCTATTTTAGTCACAAAAAATAAAATATCAAATCCAACCCATAATCATTACAATCATCTCTCACAAAAAAAGTCAAAAAAGCCAAAAAACTAAAAAGTCCTTCCCAAACCAGGCTAAAATAGCCCAAGTTAAAATAACCAAAAAATTAAAAAGTTAAAAAGTCAACCCCCTTCCCAAACGAAGGCTTTACTTATTTTTTTGTTTTAATGGCAGACCCTCCAGAAAGCAACCCACCTCAAAGCCTTAAATATGAAAAAAAAAAAACGAAAAAGAAAACAAAAACAATAGAGAGACACAGAAGAAGAGTCTGTGTGTACGTTTTTAGGACTGTTTAAGAGTCATCAGTGACGCCCCAGTGTCCAAATAATGACTCATACCCACCCCCAAAACAGCGGAAAATTATTTAATATTTCTAGAATATTATATGTTTGTATTTCTTAATTAATTATCATTTAATATGTCATCTCATATTTTTCAATTACCTAACATAATATTTCATCTATTCATATTTTTCACTAATCACAATATTATAAAATATCATATATTTATATTCCAAAATTACTAAATAATTACCCCAAACAACAGTGTCAACCCTTTTGCTCCCTTCATATAAACCCCTCATCACCACCACACCCACTTCCATATTTTAAGGGCTGGTTTGACAAATCCAAAATAATTTAAAAAGTCAAAAAGTTATACAAAAAGTAAAAAAAGTCATTACTATTCACAAATAAAAAATATTAAAAAAATATTTTGAATATTTTTATAATACAAAAGTTTGATCAAGCTCTGTGAGCCGTACTTGTGAAGCAGGAAGACATTATACACTTTTTGGGCTAAAAAAAAATTACATAGGTAAAGTTACAAAGTTTGATGGTAATCTTGGGCCCTTAGGGGCCCACTAAGGGTTCTATTTTGATAATTCGAACCGTTCAATATGTAGAACTTGTCGAGTAATATATGCTTGTAAAAAATCACGTTGATCGGATATCGTTAACACTACAACAAAAAGCATTTTTTGCGACACTTTTTAACAACCAAACAAAAATTCAGTTGCCAAAGATACATAATTGGCAACAGAATATTTGTGGTCACTAAAAAATAAACTTTTGGCGACAAATTTATAATTTTGGTCGCTATTGATTTTGGCGCCAAGTGAATTTCTTGCGCGAGAGTACGAAAAACTTATCAGCGACCAAATTAATTTATAGCGACAGAAAATTTAGTCGCTAATTGTATTTGTTTGGCGACAAATATTACTTGGTCGCTAAAAATCTGAATAACATTTATGGCAACCAAATTAATTTGATTGCCAATAAATTATTTGTCTTTACCCTAATTTTTTATTGCCAAAAATTGTTGACAAGTGAATAAACAAACAATTGACCTAACTTCTTCTCATTTTCTCATCCATCTGAAACGACACAACACAGAACGGCACAACACAGATTAGGTATGTTCTTCTTCTCTTCTTCTTCTCTCTCTCCCTCTCCCTCTTACTCTCTCGCGCTGCTGAATGCAAAAGGCACAACAGTGCTCGGCGGCAGCAACACTGGGCGGCAGCAGATCGCGGCCCTCTTTTTGGGTCGCTGCTCTGTTCTCTTCTCTGTCTCTGATGTTCTGAATGTAGTCCCTCTCCCTCTCCCTCTTGCTTGCTCGCGCCGCCGAATACCAGCGGCATAGCACCGCTGGGCATCAGCGCCGAATGCCTAATTTTTATTTTATTTTTTATTTTGGGTATATTCATGGTTATGTATGTGTATGTATGTACTCATAGATTTGTGAGTTTTCATGTTTATATGGGATTGAGATTGTTGCTTTAGCTAGTTGATGAGAATATATTGGGTGTGGCCTATTTGGGATGCTCTCTTCTCTTTATTTTTCTTTTGGGGAGGGAGACATAAAGGAGGACTATGGTTCCCATCCGAATGCCTTGGAAATGGGTTGGGGCACACTGGTGTTACCCAAAAGCTTTAGGCCTTTGTTCCACAGTTGTACTAACTCCACAACGAGTTTTGTATTATCATATCCTTTTACATCTGTAGAACTTTTTAACTTCTATAGGTCATATTTTTGTGGTCCCATAAAATGTGCTATATATTGGTTAGTGCATTTTGGTCAAAACAATTTGGAATATATAAGAAATTTGGGAGATTTAGATACTCCAAGTTAAGGATAAACATAAATATATGAGCAAACCCTCTATTTAGTAGTGTTATATTTGATACGAGAAGAACTTTTCTTCCAAAACCCTCAATCCCAATCATTTTGGTAAAATCCTTACTGCATTCAATTTACCCTTGGTTACAATTATTTTGATAGAATTTTTAGTGGTTCGAAATTTGAATGTGAAATGATTATTTTAGTATAACTAACAACAACAACAACAACCCAAAAAAAAAAGAAAAAAAGAAAAAAAAGAAAAAGAAAAAAGAAAAGATTATTCTGATGTAAGAGGTGTTAGCATTTGTGAGTATAACTTTTCCTTCTGTATGTATTATCCTAATAGGATGCATCGGAAGAATGGTCAGTTTGCTTCATTGAAGGAAAATTCAGCCTCTTCTAGTTGGGATTTTACTAAGAGTTGCCTTCAAGGAGATGGCATACCTCGTCCAGAAACTGTGTAAGTGGTAACCTGAATCTCAAATTGCTGTTTTAAATATATAGACCGATACTTCACTATCTTCCTCCTAATTAATCTTTACAGTGAGTATCATTTTCTGCAATATTGTCCAGTGTTCGAAGATGTCAACATTGTGGTGTTGGTGAAAATTCTACTCCTGCAATGCATCGTGGCCCAGCTGGACCAAGGACACTCTGCAATGCATGTGGGCTTATATGGGCAAACAAGGTATGTATAGTCTTGATCATCAAAATCTGTACCTTCTTTTTTTTTTGAAGGTCATCCAATATATTCTCATCAAATTGCTTTTTTTTTTTTAGTGTGATCGTGAATATATTCAATACCCTTTGCAGCATCTAGTGCGATCTATGAGGCCTATGCTAAGTTTAATTTAGCGAAGGCAACATGAAAAGATTGTTCCAGTAACAAACTGAACTCTATCACAAGCTTAAGATGTTTTCAGACATCCACAAATGCTATAAAGCATAATAGTGAAACTTAGCTAACAACTATGAGCAAAAGGGAAAGAAAATTTGTCTTTGAGGGCTAGAACTCGACGAACTAAAATTTAAATCATAAAGAAGATGATCCAGAAAGATTTTGAGTGAGCAGAGTTTGGTACTTATGATCTTTAAACAAATAATATTAAGGAAAAGAAGAAGAAAGTAAAGGCTCAAATTAAGGCAGACAACTAAAATAGGGTTGGATCTTATCAGTCAATACAGTGCTGAGGAGCCTTTGAATTGAACCATCATTTGCCACAAGAACAGGGAAGAGGTGAAGAAGGAAGACGACAACCTGTACAATGAGAAGAGGAGAAGAGGGTGAAAGGAAAAGAAGGAAGCTGTGAGGGTGGAGCCGAGAGAGAGAAGGAAAGGGGCAGCCACCATATGTTCATGATTCTGCCAAAATGAACCCCTCTCTTGCCTCAGACTTGGTAAATTATAGGGTTCTTATCTATTGTCCAACCTAACCATCTTCTTGCTCTTGTCAAGACTCCATACGTCCACTTGTCATGCCACTACTTACACAAATCAAAACTCTACCAGAAATTCTAATGGTCCAAAGCTTAAAAGCATGGACAGTGACAAGCAAGGAATTACAATAGGGGGCTTTTTGCTGGAAGTGATGATAAAACAGTGGGTTGCAGATCTGGTATGTAGGGGGAAAAAAAGATGAGGTTTTAGAGTTACAATATTGCCCTCATTGTAGTCGACAAAGGAAAGGGACTGGGGTATTTTTGTCCAAATTCTAACCTTCTTTAGTCATTGGCTAAAGAAGGCCATGTATAGGTAAATAGTTATCATAAATATACTTCCTATTACTCTGGTTTCGGTTTTGTTTTATGCACCATGTCAACTTTAGTTCTCAATGGTGATCATTTCAACCCTATCTTGATTAAGATTATGATTCCTGTAACTTCATGCAAAGAAGTCCTTTCTGCATCATTAATGATAAATTTCTAGTCTAGCTAAGATGTTGCTCACATGAAGTAGTTTTGTCTCTATAATTCATCAAAGTTAAGTTGAATTTGAGTCATCTTTGCCTCAATCTTTACTTCTTTGTAACTAAGAACTATTATTGCACAGCTTTACCTCTGTCATTTCCACTTCCTCTCATGAAGTGATCTTGAGCGTGGAAGTCCTGTTGTTGCCACTCTATAGTAGTGCTTTGCATTTTCTGGCTTCAGTGGCCTTAAACTGAGCTCTAGCTCATTTATGCAGTTTTGATTTTGCTGTAAGCGAGCAACTGTTGTCTTTATGTGGACTGCCATTATCTAATGGTATTTAAGATGTTTTTGACATCATCTATGAAGCCTATGGAACATCTTGACAATTCCTTTCACATGAATTCATTCAACTTAGAATCTCTTAAGTGTTTTCTAAGATTTTCAATTTGCCTTAATTATCACTGATACAATCACCACAGTCCACGATTGTTGCATTGTGAATGACTTTTCTACTCTTGAGTTCTGATATTTTATTTCCTTTGCCGTCCTTAATTATACATTTGTAGATTTAAAGTTGTATTTTGTTTATCATATATAATTTTTCCACTAATTTTTATTAAATTTTATATTCTTATGTCTTTTTGTGTCTCTTACAAAATGGAAAAATAGATAATCTTTTCTGCCTAACATCCATTATATGCATAAGCCGGATTGTTACCCATTGCCACTATTTACATAAATGTTTACAATGATTGCCTTTTTTTGGTGCAGGGATGGTTACAATGACTTCAACACATTCTACATGCAAGTAAGCATTGTGACATTAGATGTTATTTGTTGGATTCTATAAATTACAAAGTTTATCAATTTTGCTGGAGTTATTTTGATAATTCAAGTTGCTAAGCAAAATTTGTGTTGGACTCATCAGTTAGCATTGCTGCTGATTGGTCGTTGGTGTCAGCATTAACACATTTTTTGTTGGTCTAATTAATTTACCACCACCATTGCTAGTGATTGTTCCTTCTCTCTTATTGTTGAATTGAACATTTTAACATTATAATTTTTTTTTTCATATGTTTGACAGATTGGCAATGGATGGAATATAGTTCGGGGAGCATCAAAGGATTACATTTTGAATTTTTTGATATATTTTGTCATAGGTTTTTGTTATGAATTTGCAAGCTTGGAAGGTTTTTTGGAATTACATGTTTGAAGTTTTTTCGCATGTTTGACAGAATGGCAATGGATGAAATATAGTTCGGGGAGCATCAAAGGATTACATTTTGAATTTTTAGATATATTTTGTCATAGGTTTTTGTTATGAATTTGCAAGCTTAGAAGGTTTTTGGGCATTACATGTTTCAAGTTTGGGATTGTAAGAGATTTGTACTTAAATTGGATGTTTTGGATTTGCATAATATGGTACTACTTTTGAATTAAGTTTATATTTTGGATGCTTTGCACAAGAGTGTTAATTTGAATTATATTTTGTTTATGTTTATAGGTTTATGAATTATGTATTGAACAAGGAAATTGTTAAAAAAAATTATAAATAATGAATTTTTGGTGACAGATTTTTTTAGTTGTAAATTTACTTTTGGTGACATTTTATTTATGTTGCTGAAAGTATGTGTCAATTTTTTTAGCGACCCAAAACTTGATTGGTCGCCAAAAGTTTTAACATTCAACAACCAATTCTTTTAGTCACTAAAAGATATTTTTAGTGACGCATTTATATGTCACTGAAACTTAACATGTCATCAACTGAAGGCTACTTTTGGTGACTAAATGTTAATTTATGACGACGAAATTTTAGTCTTTTGGCGACGGAAATTTTTGGTCGCCAATTTATTTATAAAGGCAACCAAAATTGATTTGGTCGCCGAAGCACTTAGTGACAGGGCTTCAGCGACCAATTTTGTTCATGTCGCGGATACTTTCAGCAACCAAAATAACACTTTTGGTGACTAAAAAATAGGTCGCTAAAAGTGTTTTTTGTTGTAGTGTAACTATATGATCAAATCAGTTTTGTATAAACAAAACGGATGGTGTGATAGTTAACTGTTGAAAAAAAAAACTAATCCGATCATATAACTATCGATATCCGATCAAAGTAATTTTTTACAGGCATATAATACTCGACGAGTTGTACATATTGAAACGGTTCAGATTATTAAAATGGGACCCATGGTGGACCCCACGGACAAATCATCATTGTCCAAACACTTTGTCCCGAAAGAGGCAATTATTTTCTGTATAAGACATGCTGGGGCAGTCGGGCAGTCGTACAACCAATTAACTTTCTTCCATTATACACTTTATTTATATAATTTTTTATTACACATTTTTTTGTAAAAAGACAAAAAGTTAAACCAAACATCCATATTTTTTTTTTCTCAACTTTTTGTTGGAAAAAATGGTAAATGGTGTTTTATGTGACTTATTTTGGGCCATCTTTAAGGCCAAAATGAAGTGAGCCCCAAACGTCTTTTGGGGTAAGTCCGAAGAGGTGACGTATTCCTTGTCGTGTGGCAAGTCACACGGTGAAGACGGAACGTCAAAACCATTTATGAGTGACTAGGAAGTTGACGTCATTTTCGGGTTTAACATTAATTTTTTAGATAAAAATTCTTTTGAATTTTTTCAATAAAAATTATTGTAGGAATTTAATTTAATTCTATATTCAAATTTTGGGTTCCTAAGTGGTTTCCTAAAGTTTGCAATTGTGGGAATTTAATTTAATTCTAAATTCAAATTTTGGATTCCTAAATAGTTTCCTAAAGTTTGTACCTCTTCCTTTATTTATTAAACTATTTCAATAGTTTAATATATATATATAATTTTCAAATAGTTTAAATAAATAATGTACCAATAGCATTTTTAAACTTTGACTAACGGTTGCTTTTTCAAAAGTTTGAATAAAAGACCAACGGTTGCTTTTCCAAAAGTTTGAATAAAAAGTGCTACTACAATTTGTGAAGATCATTGTATCCTGGGAGATAGACGCCACTCAACCGTAAGCACCGTAGCGGGGCGAATCTGTCTTAAGGGAAGAGTGTCACACACTCGACTTGGTCTTTGAATTTTTAATTCAGTTCGATAAATAAATCCGGTATGTTATTTATTCATTTTGTTTGAATTTATTTCAAGTTATTTTATATACACAGAAGATTATTCTAACAATCTTAAAACAGATTCGAATTATTCTGTTTATAGAATTTTTCGTTTGTTTCCTTTTCTCTTTCTTCTTTTCGAAAATTATTTTCTGTGGATTTACAAAATAATATTCTGGTTGGAAAAACAAATAGTGATTATATGCTATTTGAGAGATAGTAGTAATATACTATCAATTTTCTTTGACAATTAGTAGTACGATACTGGTGTGTAGAGCGCCTGAACGCCCCGGGAGGGTGAGTCCCGTTCTGTTCATTTGTGGGGCCACTACAGCTCGGACTCTCAAATTTGTCACGGTTCTTAATCTGAACCAAAGAGTCTAAATCCGGGAAATCGTTTTGAGAAACAGATTTTCGAAAAGAAGTGTCAAACATGGACTGCTTTGCCAGATACAGAGTCGCCACCTAAATATTTTTTATGGGGGAATTTAGAAAACCCTGACTCGTGGAATTTTGTCAGGAATTTAATTTTGGTTTTTTAGAAATTATTTTCTGAGTTTTTATTAATTAAAATTTTGTTTCAGTATTTTAATTATTGAAGTGTTACTGAAATTAATTTTATTTTATTTCCAAATTAATTGAAAAATAAAAGTTATATTCTTATTTCTTTTATTTTACAGAATTTAATTTCTTGTGTGGAATTAATTTGGTTGAATAAAATTTTATTTTATTTCCAAATAATTGGAAAATAAAAGTTACATTCTTGTTTCTTTTATTTGTACAGAATTTAATTCAGTGAATTTGGTTTAATTTTCTGTGTAGTGTAAATTCTAATTATAATTTTGTTTTATATATTAGAATTGATGGCTACTAAAACTAATGTCCAAACAAGTACTACTGTGGTGGCTGCGATTGCACCAACCCCCTCTCCTGTGGTGACAATACCAATAAATCATGGAGAGAAGCCAAAGAAGTTCTCAGGAACTGACTTTAAAAGATGGTAACAGAAAATGTTGTTCTATCTTACAACTCTGAACCTAACTCGTTTCCTCCGTGAAGATGCTCCTATCCTGAAAGAGGATGAAACTGACAGGCAAGTGGTTGCAGCTGTTGATGCTTGGAAGCATGCCAATTTCCTTTGCCGGAACTACATCTTGAACGGACTTGACAACACATTATACAACGTCTACAGTCCGATCAAGACAGCAAAGGAACTTTGGGAATCGTTGGAGAAAAAGTACAAAACGGAAGATGCCAGCTCAAAGAAATTTGTGGTTGGCAGATTCCTGGATTTTGTAATGGTTGATTTAAAAACTGTGATCAACCAAATTCAAGATTTCCAACTCATTCTGCATGACATTCACACAGAAGGCATGTCTCTCAGTGAATCCTGCCAAGTTGCTGCCTTAATTAACAAATTACCAAAAGGTTAGAAGGAATTTAAGAACTACCTTAAACACAAGCGCAAAGAAATTTCTATGGACGAATTAACTGTGCGTTTGAGGATTGCTGAGGACAACCGCAATTCTGAAAAGCGGGCTGGTAAGCATCCTATGGAATCTAAGGCAAATGTGGTGGAACATGCTTCAAAAACCAAGAAACAAAAGTCTTCTGGAGAAAGTTCATCACAAGGCTCTAAAGGGGGGAAAATAAAAAGTACAAGTTTAATGGCAAATGTTACATCTGTGACAAAGAGGGACATTGGGCCAAAGATTGCCGTAGCAAAGGCAAAAGCAAAAGAAGAACAAGCAAGAAGCCTGTTCAAGCCCACATTACTGAAGTGGACAATATTTCCAATGGTATAGATGATATCAATCTTTCTGCAATTGTTTCCGAGGAAAATCTTGTCGGAAATCCTAAAGAATGGTGGGTGGACACTGGTGCTACTCGCCATATTTGTGTCGACAAAAAGATGTTTACATCTTATTCTATAGTGGACAATAGTGAACAACTCTTTATGGGCAACTCCTCAACTTCCAAAGTTGAAGGACAAGGAAAGATTGTACTCAAGATGACATCTGGAAAGGAACTCACTCTCAACAATGTACTGCATGCACCGGACATTCGCAAGAATTTAGTTTCCGGATCTTTGTTGAGTAAGAATGGATTTAGGCTAGTTTTTAAAAGTGACAAGTTTGTACTTACCAAAAATGGGATGTATGTAGGAAAATGTTACATGTCTGATGGCCTTTTCAAGTTAAATGTAATGACCGTTGTACCTTCAGTTATTAATAATACTACATCTTCTTCTTACTTGCTTGAGTCTTCAAATTTATGGCATGGTAGACTAGGACATGTTAATTATAGATCTTTGCATAGATTAATTAATATGGAATGTTTACCTAAATTTAACATTGATTCAAATCATAAATGTGAAATTTGTGTTGAGGCAAAATTATCTAAAACTCCTTTTCATTCAATTGAAAGAAGTACGAAACCATTTGAATTAATTCATAGTGACATTTGTGATTTTAAATCAATTCAAACTAGAGGTGGGAAAAAGTATTTTATCACTTTTATGGATGACTATACTAGATATAGTTATGTTTATTTAATTCGAACCAAGGATGAAGCTTTGGAAACTTTCATTCAATATAAGAATGAAATTGAAAATCAACTTGGTAAGAACATCAAGAAACTTAGAAGTGACAGAGGTGGTGAATATGAATCACC